GGGCTGCTTGGAGGAGGTGACCCGGTGGTGCTCCGGGTTTCCCCTCCGCCGTGCGGCTCGGGGCCAGGCGCGAGCGCCCGCGAGGAAAAAGGAAGCTGCAAGTTGCTGGGAAGTTGCTCGGGTGCTGGGAGCAGGCTTTTAAAGTGCCGCCCGAGCAGGACCGCCGAGCCGGGAAACGGGGCACCAAGGCAGGGCAAGGCTCCACCAGCAGCGGCCTAGCTTTAGGTGGCTCCAAGCAGTCCGCTCCAAGCAGCCTGTCCGCCCGCTGGGCGGAACCCTTCCCGCTCCTCGGCCGGAAGACGCTCCCGCCTGCAAACTTTGCCTTTGCAAAGTTTAAGCCTAGAAGCCCCGGAAAAAAAGGGGGGGATCGGCGGGGACTCACCTTCGGAGAGGTCGCGCTCGAAGGTGATTTCAAACTCCCAGCCGAGGCCTTTGCAAAGTTCTTCTTTTCTTTCCTACCCCGAGAGCGCTCCACACTGTTTTGCAGCTTTGGGGGCCACGCGGCGCAGGGCAATATGCCATGCTCAGCGATTTTTTTTCAGGGGCAGGCCAGATTGGACAGACCAACAGGCCAGATGTGGCCCGCGGGCCGTAGTTTGCCCACCCCTGCTGTAGGATCTCTATCTGTGTCTCAGTGGAACATCTGTTACAATGTGTGCCCTGCCTTATAGTTGTAATAAATTATTTCTGCAGCAGCAAAAATAGTTTTTTTTGTGTAATAATTTTATGTTTCTTTTTGGACTACAAAAATTATCCATTTTGGTGGAATATTTGTTAGTATATGGGACTGACTGCTTTGATAGTGAGCTATGTCACCAATGAACGAGAGAGTGGATATAAAAGCAACTTTTGATATTGGGTTATCTGGCATCGTTGAGCTTTAACTACTAATTTCTTCTGTATCTTTCTGCTGAATCCAGAGACAAAATGAAAGTGCATGCATCAGTCTCCCTGCAAGATTTTATTAAAACAAAACAATTTCAAAATGTTTTTTGATTGAGATCCAAAGTAGTATTTTAATGAAATTTAGTTTTAGTAAATCAGATCTATTTTCCAGTTAAGCTTCTTCCATAAGATGGTATACAGTCTTTAGAACCTTAATTAGATGTTTGAGTGTACAGCTTGTGTGTAATTTACAAACTAATCCAGCATCTTGAATTCATTGAATTGTGTACTGATTGATACATTACTTATTACATACTTTTATATGAATACATTTTTATTCTCTCACTGAGTTTGTTAATTTTAGGGTAATAATTGTATTTCTTGAAAGATAATTCCACAATAATATCATTGACTATCATATGGCAGTATCTCAATTGATGTTCTCTTCTTTTTACAGTGGCGGCTAAACACATCAAGAAGACATTATTTTGTGTATGGTAAAATAGCAGATCAATGTGGACTTTCTGACTTAATTGTCTATGTAGATCTTCCTCATTTATAACTTGTCAATATAAACTAGAACTTAAAATAAAATTTGTGTGGTATCCTATTTGCAAACACATAAAAGCTTAACCAATTCTTGAAGACTAAACTGATGAGAATTTTTAGGAAAGAACAGATAACTTATGAAGTATTCCATTTCTTCTTGGAAGTTGGGAAAACATCAGTGTTGGAAAAAAACTGAACAACACTGAGCTATCTATACAATTGATTTACTTATATATCCCTACCTTGGATTATCACTGAAGATGCCCAACTTCTGTCAGTTTCATGCCAAAAGAAAATATGTATTTTTTGCAAAAATGTAATTAGCAAATATATGTTAAATTGTATCTTTATTAAGGCAATTATAAATCTCATTTACATTGTGGTATTAATTGACATTGCTTTCCAAAAGAACTAATTCCATTACATTTTGGCAAGCTTTAAGGAACAGCATTTGTAAGAATAGAGCCAAGATAAAATATAATTAACACTGCTTACATTGTAGATTTCATTCTGATTTAATTTTATTTGCAGAAACCTATATGATACATATCTGCCATGGGATCAGGAGATAAAGTGCATATATTAGATATTATACATACAAACACATTTCCTGTTCTGTCAGTACTGGCATACAATTTCTTTTCTATGTCATTTTAATGCAAGCAAAATAGATTATTGCTGTGGACCATATATTTATGTGTCCTCCACATCACAAATAAACTTCAGCTATTTGTGGTTAGAAAAACTATTGCTCTATTAGTGGGAGTAGAATTTATTCTTTTCTTTGTGGTGGATAAAAGAGATGATATCTGAAAGAGCCAAGAGTCAGTGAAGCCAGGCTTTGTACTTTTGCACAGATGTGTATTGAGGGCTGTTGTACTCCCATGCAATTTTTGATTTGTATGGCATCTTCTAGATTAATTTTGCATGCATTTTTAGTCACAGTAATTTATTACATATTAGTAACTAATAAGAGGCACTGTTTATTCTAACCAATAGCAAAGTTTTGCTAAAGAGTTTGAGCATAGGAGCAACAGCTGGAATACAACGTGGAATGTTATATATATCTATTTTTGATTATCCATCTTAGCAGTACATAACTTAAAACAACTTTTCTATGCATTGGTTACATTTAAAAAATCATTCAATTTCCAGCTTTAAAAACATACATCTTTGCTTCAAGAAGAAAAATATCATAAAATTTATGGCATTCAATAGAATGAAGCTTCATTTAAAAAACCAATTACGTAAAATGTTGAATTTTTATAAAAGTATAATGAAATAATTGCAGGGGGGAAAAATTCAGTTCCCTAGTGGGTGAGATTCCAGAAAATTCATTTTTGAATTTCAAGTTGAATTAAGTAGGGTGACAATCTTTCAAGCATCCCCTTTACCTTTGATTCCCATTGTCCAAAGCAAAGGCTTGTCAGTTTCAATGGTCACTATTCCAGTTTTGTCATAAGTGTTTGATGTGCTGACAAGTGTTCCAAACTTCAAAATACTTCTATCTGTAATTAAGAAAAAAGGTTAAGATTTTTCCCCGCATCTTTTAAACTTATTTATTTTATTTAGTGTATGGCAAATACATGGACTTATAGTGGTTCAAATGTTAATGTCCAATCCACCCAGCCATTTAAGGACAGGGTAGTCTATGTTGAAAAAAATTAGACGTTGGGCTGGTGTAAGCTCTAAATGGACATTCGGACCCAATGTTATGGATATTTTGTTGAGCACCACAATCACACTGAGAGGTAGAGACAAGACCCCACTTAAACAACGAGTCCTGGCAGATACCATGTTGAGTACAGATCCTGTTCAGAATTGACCAATGCTGGCGAGGAAGGTCAAAATCTGGCACCTTTTGTGTAGAGTCATCTATGTAACTACCTGTATCTGGGCATTCATCATTTAAACATAAGTATTTGTATACAGGGAGTCTTCATTTAATTATGGTAATTGGGACCTGCAACTCTGTCATTAAGAGACATAGTCATGAAGTGTAATGTCATGTGACTGCACCTAGGATGCCAGTTCATCAGGTGAATCCTGTGTGGTTGCAGCTTCCTAGTCAAGTGATCACTATTTGCTAGCCTCCCCATTAACTTCAATTTTCAGAAGCCAGCAGTGAAGATTTGCAAATGACAGTTGTGATTTCGGGGCACCTCAATGTCTTCTTAAGTGTGAGCTGGTTGCCTCATTTGCGATCCAATGATCATGGGGAAATGGCACTACCCTCTTGCCGCAACAGCACCATTACCTCGTCCTGGCCGGCCAGGGCTGCACTGCTTTTTGCATGTTGCACCATCTGCAAATTTGCATATTATACGTGCCACCCCCCCACGGCAGAGATTTCCAACTCCACTGCAGGCCGGTCCGATATTCCAGAGCTGCAGTAGTCACAAGACTGGCCCTTTGGTCGTCCCTGAGATCCAAAAGGTTGGCGACCCCTGCTTTATTATTATAGCTTTATTATTACCAAAGATAGCAGCACTGTATTGTACTGTACAAAAGCTAAACTAGTAATAGCTTTTTCTATCCAGTAGATGGCTCTTTTCATCTATTTTTCCAGGTAGGTTTTTTTTTTTAATAAAATACCGGTACTTTGGAAAAATGCTATTCATACGACTCATATTCATACAAGCTTAGCACATTTTTATTGCTATAACTAAGAATAAAAAAAATTAGACAAAAACATGACTTGGATTAAAGTAAGATAGCAAAACTAACATTAGGGGATATGTTACATCCTATAGGATATATAGGAGTCCGTTTGGTCTGCTGTTTAAGGCACCAGGCTTGACAAGCAAAAACCTGCCTTGGCAATGAAAGCCAGCCTGGTACGCGCTCTCAGCCCTATTCACTTCATAGCTTGTGAGGAAAATAGGAGGCAGAAGGTGGAATGGATTTGTTCACAACCTTGAGTTATTTGTAAAACTAATAAAGATGGGAAAAGATTTTCTCTAAAAGTAAATTCAGCCCCAAACTCCTAGTTTACCCTTTCTTTTCCTAGCCATTTAAGATTAAATTAAACTGTTTATTTTGTGACTCCAGCTTTTAATATCATAATTATCAAGGTCAATTTGTTTTAAGCTACATATACCCTTTATTTAATTGATTTGAGGTTCAATTTGTTGAAGTTTGTATGTATCCTTATTGCTTCCAAAGTGGTATTAATATGCTTTGCATTTACTGATTCCTGAGTCACCATCTGCAATAATTCCTAACTGTTGTCCCCATATTTTAAGATTCATCCATCCATGTTGAATGTCCTCCTATCATTTGTATTTTGTTCTTTGTGGAAATCATCTACTTAAGACCTGCTTACTAAAAGACAATAAAAATTATCAATAAAATTGTAGCTTTCTTTAGAAATTCTCCCATGTATTTAGAGTACTTCAAGGGGATAATGGAAATTCAAAGAAGGAATTCTTCAGATACGGCACTTCAGATAGACACTTCCATGGGATTAGGGGTGCCAATCTTGCAAAGTGTTACAAGAGGAAATAAACTATTACAAATTCAACTGAATGTGCACAGAGACATCAAGAAGAATGTAAGCTGGATAATGTCCAGTATAACATTGCATTAATCATGAATCCACAAGGCACCTTCAGGCAATTTTCAGACAATTTTCAATCCACAGCAGCAATGTAGATGTTTTATGGGAGGTGTTAGCAAGGAAGATGAAGGTAACTTTTTGAAACTCAAAAGCTCTTCTTCCCAACCCATATTTGGCCATTGTTCTGTTTTGGTTTTGGAGAATTATCCTGTTGATAAATAGATGGGCATACTATTAAGTTCCTTTACATTTCTCCCAATACTGGGAAAAATAAAATTAAGACCTGAGAAATGTAAATAAGTTTACCAAGATGGTCTCTACACATTGATTTTGAAAGGCAAATCAATAAAACTATTTTGAACACCAGAACTCTACAAGAATCTATACTAAATTACTGCAGATTTCTAGTTCTTGTATTGCTCCTTTAGGAGTAAGAAACTTTATTATTACTGTGTTTTGTCCCATAGGCTATCTCCCATGATCCCTATAAAGCCAAACTAGTTTGTTTTCATTATTAAAAATGCAGATTGGATAGTTATGGCTACTAAAAAGCCTTTCCAAAGCTTGATATTTTGAATTTTAGAAATAATTAATTTTTAATCAAAAGCTTCATTAAAATGAACTCAAACTCCCATTTTTCCCATGAAGAAAATTGCATATTTAAATGATCAAAGTGAAGCCCAGCAAGCTAAAACAAAGTTAAATACAGAACAATAATTTGCCTGCCTATTACCATCTATCTGAAAAAATAGTCCCTAAAGTCTCTGTGGAGGACATTTTGCACTGAAACAAGCTAGGTTAGAATTCCACTTCACTGACTTATTTTCCAAATTGCAAATGTTCACCAAAGTACGTGGTTTGAATGGAGTAATCACAAAATGTTGACAAAAGTCTTCTCTGCATTCTAGAAAGAGCAACAAAGGTGATTAGGGGACTGAGAGTAAAATGTATGATAAACCAGAGCTCGCCAACCTTTTGGACCTCAGGGACCTCCAAACTCATAATTTTAAATCCCGTGGACCACTAATATGAATTTTGACTGATGGTGGCTTGCTGACGTTGGTGGGAAAGTCAGTCCCATATTCCAGAGCTTCAGTAGTTACAGGACTGGCCCTTTGGTCATCCTGGAGCAGCTGCTCTTCCACCCGGGTGCACCGGCCTGCCATGGACTGGAGGAGCTGCTCCAGGATGATACTGCAGCTCTGGAATATGGGATCGGCCTGTAGTAGAGTTGGAAATCTCCGCCGTGGGGGGGGGGGGGTTGGCACGTATAATATGCAGATTTGCAGATGGTGCAACATGCAAAAAGCAGTGCAGCCCTGGCTGGCCAGGACGAGGTAATGGTGCTGTTGTGGCAAGAAGGGGGTGGAGGCACAGACAGGCTGAAGTGATGATGGAGAGGGCTGGAAGATGTGGGAGCACTGTGCTACTTGCATTTGCATGGCATCAGTATTCTGCCTTTGCTCAAGGAGCCTGGCTGAAGTTTCCTGTGCCACTCGCACTTCAGTGCTTTGAAGATTTGCGCTCAGCCAAAGGGTGGGGACCATCAGGTGGGTGGGCTATGTGGGCGGCACAGCCTTGTGTTCCCGCGCAGCCTGGATTAACTGCTTTGGGGGGAGTGCTTTGGAGGGGACATTTCTCTGCAGACCACCAACATTTTATCGCGGACCACCAGTGGTCCCTGGCCCATTGGTTGGCGACCACTGTGATAAACAATTGCAGGAATTAGGAATGTCTAGTCTAACAAAGAGAAGGAATAGGAGTGATATGATAGCAGTTTTTGAGTACCTGAGGGACTGTCACAAGCACCTGATGGCAAGAAGTAACAGATAGAAGCTTATCAAAGAGAGATCCAATCTAGATTTAAGAAGAAATAGCAGTGAGAACAATTAACCAGTGCATGGCTTGCCTCCAAATGTTGTGGGTGCTCCATCACTGGATATTTTAAAGAAGAGATTGGACAGCCATTTTTCCAGAATGGTATAGGATCTTCTGCCTGTGCAGGGAATTGGACTAAACCTTCAAGGTCCCTTCTAATTTTGTTAGTTTGCATTCTATAAGATAGTGTTGTACCATCTAAAGTGCTGGTCTAGGATGGAAGAGAGTCGGGTATATATACAGTTCAGTCATGGAAACTCACTGGATGACTTGGGCTAACTATATCTCAATCCTGTTAGGAATGTGAGTCACCTAACAGCTATTTGGGATGGAAATATATAAACCAGGATAGACATTTTAATACTGTCTTTAAGAGAATGCAAAAACTGCAATTGGGTGTGGTTCTGCAAATGGCCATAAGATGGAGCCAGAAACCTGGGTTGTCTTCGTCTCAGAAGAAGTCTCAGTGAGTCTCTCTTTTTCCTTCTGTTGGAAAGATTTTTGCTATTCCTCCATTTTTTTTCCTTATTGACTGATATTCATGGATTTGATGTAAGTCTGATACTGAAATGTTTTTTGACACTAGACTTTGTTATTGGATTATCCCTGGATTGTACACTGACTGCCTTACCTATGAATGACTTTGGACTGCTTGTTTTGAACTTTGCTTAATGTTTCTGGAAGTAAAAACCTACATTTACTGTACAGTGTATCTGTGTGCTGTGTGTGTATTATTCAAACACTTCTCTCAAATACGTCTCCCTGTATGCGCTCATTCTCCTAACGGGGAATTACTTCAACAAATCCAACTTACTTCAAAGGATTATACACAGCTTCTGAGATACTACAATGGATAAAAGTTACTCAGATAACTTGTATTTTTAGTTATTTTGTTGTTAGTCTCTTACCTTGAATGTTAGAATGCTTGTGAAAATTTGTAACAGAAATGAAAAAGCAAAGCAAAACAAAATAAACAAAACTCTAATTTCTATCGAACCATTTAAAATAAAATGACTGTTCACTAAAATCCAATCTTAGCATGTTAAAATAGGCGAGTTTAACAGGATTTGA